TCCTGAGCGCTCTGATTTGCTCACTGAGCATCACCTGAGCAGCCTGATCCACTTACTGAGCACGACCTGAGCAAAACGCGGGAGCAGCTAAGTCACCAGCTCACCTCAATAAAATTCACCACGCTAGCCCCATCCAAATGCAGTTGTTCACCAGAACTCTTGACCGTTGTCCCCTCAACGAAAGGCTGGCGTCATCAATTTGTCGGTCGATCCTGGTTGTTTCTCCTCCAGCTGGGAGGCAAATTGATAGTGGGACCACATTTGTTGGATTTACTATTCTGCAGCTATGCCACACTATTCAACTCGCCGAGCCTTGCATCCACGACACCGTCTCTGCATAGTTGCGGAAAATATACAACCCTCAATTTTTGGTCCTACAATATCTAGGATTATCTTTGAAAACCCCAATTGGATAGTTTGTAAACTTGGATTTCTGTTTTGTTCGTATTTTGTTTCGCTTGAATAACAACTAAATTATCACTCTTGTGTTACGGACATGCAGTCACCAATCAGTTGCGGGGAACGCAACCTGACAATGGGCCATCGAGCGCCAATCAGTTTTACGTCAGCCACAGTCACGTGGACCAAGACCAGAAAGTCGTGGTCTTTCCGTCGTACCCTTCCGATATACCATAACGGGAAGATCAGTGGAACGCGTTCGACGCCACAAGAACGACAGGTTCCTGCGACACCACGGTTCCTGCGGTTGGACTTGTCGCAGGAAGCACCACATCGCAAGGCAGGTTCTATCGCGAGAACGCCTTGTCAGCACACGTGACCAAACACATCCTACGATAGGATCTGACGCAGGGTACTATAGTTCCTGGGAGCAGCCCAGAGCTACACGTGACCCATCCCATCGTAGGACAGGACCCATCCCAGGATAGGACCCATCCTACGAGAGGATAGGAGGAACTTAGATATATAAGGACACTCACTCATGTATCTAGTTTAGTTCTTCGTCTTCAATCATACATTGTTACTTGTGATTACCTTTGGAACTTCAGAGACTCGATTACTTGATTATAACTTGACAACCACTACGAATCGACCAACACCTCGGTGTAGATCTATTCGGCGCTCTACCTGGCATCGTTCCTCGATACCCTCAAAAGGACTTAGCCCGTGTAAGGCCTCGATAGGCAACGGTACGGTTGAGAGACAGATCGTTGACAGTTGGCAGTCTGCAGGACATCAGGGAAGTATCTCCCGATTCTATCTAACCTAACGACGACTAGTTAGCCGTGCGTAACACCTTGCTGCTTGCCGCTTGCTCCTAGGAATACGACATAAGCTCTAGCGATGGACATCCACAAAAATGTTCTAGACCCATCGATCATGTCTACTGGATGATCTAGCCGCCATGACGAAATTTGCGGCCCTCATTTGCCTAACATATTCTAACTAGCAATCAGAAAATACCTCATTCTAGCTAAAGCCTGATAGGACTTCCTAGGAGCTCTCAAAGATTACTAGTAGCCAAATTGCATAGGAGGGAAAAAATGGTCATTCTAAGGGGTGGTCAATCCTGTCAATTAATTTCTAGACAAAAAAATATATCCTCCACCGGTTAGGCCTGACAATTCGATGTATCTGGTCATATTTGAGATGCTATATTATTTGGGGTGTAAACGGCGGACCTGTGAATTACTGTACCCGGTTAGATTTGCCTTTTTAGGTTTAGCGCCCCAATACGCTGTCACGCAACCTACCTTCAATGCCCTCCGACATAAAAGACCTGTCTTCGCTGCTCTTCCTCCCTTTCTCTCACTTTTCCATTATTCTGCCACTCTATCTTGCACTCATTGCTGCCCCCTTTCTTTTACTCTGGCCCCCACCAACTAATGCACATTCGCTTTCAGCCCGACGCACTGCCCCCTTTCATTTTACCAGAGATGCCGCTCCATCCGACGCCCAGCTCGTTGTGGCCGGCATGGGCTGCCATACCAGTCGCCCAGGAGCAGAACCCTTGGGATGATCCAACCCGCAACCGCATCGTTCGGTTTCGTGTCGATACTCCCTCCTAATCTTTTCCGGGAGTGTGACAGTACACCGTGCTACGAAGCTATCTAGGTCGCCTTCTCTGCTAGAGCGCCTTGCTCGTTGAGCGTCACTCATACCATCGGCCTATCGGCCTCCATTGCATCTGCAAAGTTCCGGCATACTATCCTCGATGCCGCATGCCCCGCCCCATCCGCCTCATCTGAGGTTACATTTGCACAGCCCCTGATGTTGCAGAACGACTGTCCGTTGCCTTGTTGCGAATCCCGTGGCGCCCAGTTGTCGTCATCGTCGGTCTCTCCGGTCTCTGAACCCAGACGACGAGGTTCTGCATGCACGTCTCGGTAATGCGGACCAATAGCGAAAACACCGCACGCGAAAGACCCGGCTCGCCCTGTCTCTCCATCCCTTCCTTGCACTCGTCACTGCGCATCTGAGATATCGCTAGTCAATCAGGCCTCACCGTACACTCCAATCGTCCCACTATTTTCCTCTCGGTCGGGAACTTGGCTGAACCCCTGTTGCTTCGCTTTCAGCCCGTGAAATCAGTATCATTTGGCCTCTGCACAACGTGTGCCATGAAGAGGACGTCTGGTTCTTGGAGAGCATTTTCTGCGCGATGTGGAGTCAACTACTTTCTCACCGAGTGCTGACTCAATGCGGTGCGCTCGTTCTACAAGTGTTCGAATTTCTCTATGCCTCTTTCTCTCGAATAGCTTTATTCGAGTATTTGATTGGTGATTTACTAACTCATATGAGCGCAGGTGTTGCGCCCTCTTGCAACTGTCTAATGACGAAAGCCCCGCACTGTTGGTCTTCTTAGGCTCATACTTGAGCCTGGTGGCCTAGAACCCGCGGTGTGTGGAGTCGGGACCATTAGCACCCAATTGTCGCCATCTGTCTATCCAGTCCTCTTCCACTATGCATGTTTAGGGGCCAGCATGCAGTGAAATCGGCTAATGGTAAAAGTATCGCAGTCATCATGCGAAAAGGGGATCTCAATAATGTTGTCTCAACGACACTGTCAAAAATAAAACTAGTTACTGGTATAGACTTCTTCTCGTCTCCCTACCAATGACAACAACCTCCGACCTTACTAGGGCACAGTGCTGGATTTCACGTGTACGGATTTTTGTTTATTCTGAGAAGCTGTGATGGTGCTGAAGGGGACTGGCGAAATGGGTTTCAAAAATCGACAGCATGGGTTACTACAGTATAGCCAAACCATGACCGATGCTTTTGTTGTATTTCTTGGTGCTATTGAGGGCATCCAATTAACAGGATTGAACGGATCGAACTGCATCTACCAAATATTTCTATAATCGTGCACTTCATTGTGAGTGGCCACGCTAGCATGTTAACGAATTATACTTCATGTTATTTCAAGTATTGTTGTAAACCACCTCTGTCTCCATTTCCAAGTACTTCTTTGCATTGCACAGCTCCTAGTGTTGTAATTATTCCACGGCCTTCTTCTTTCGAACGCTGATTTATATTCTGTCCTTATTTTTGAGCGTGTTCGTGCGAAAGTAACAGTTTCATATTGTTTGTTGAGCTCGAAGAAGGCATAACGAAATGACCGCCTTTCTTAGGCTTATTATGGCGATTTGGAACTATGAAGCATGTGAGTAACTTGTGATGGTGGTTTAGTGAAGGTATGTACCGTCGCAATTTGAGGCTGTAGGCTGGTATGTACGCAGGCAAGTATCGTCAAGCCTAACGAAATAAGAAACAACCCTATTGAGCCGATGGATGCCACCCACAAGGCTCGTTGATGCCTAGCAGCAGTGAGGAGTGGATAATGCCAGAATAATTTGAATGTACTTGTTTCGATATGCCATGGCCTCGTGCATATTATCCAGACTCTAACAACTTGTGCGTGAATGAACCCGAGCCCAGCAAAAGCGAGGATCATAAATGAAGAAAACAAAGCTCTGCGATGCTCCTGTTATTTATTGGTCAACAAATTATACCAAAAAGGAAGGCAGCTAGTCAAACGTACCGAAAAAGCCATCGAAAATAATAGAATGGCAACTGTTCCTACAAACAATAATCTTCGCATATGTTCTATGAAAGATCAGCACGGTAATTTATCTTCAACAAATTAAGTATAAGGTTACCAAGCTAAACCAGTCTTCTTGCTGCGTTGTTAGTGAAAACACCGAATGGCATCATCTCAAATAAGTCTCATCTTTCGGGGCTTGTCCATGAAGAGCCTGAGCCTGTCCCCGAAGAGCCTGAGCCTGTCCTGATAACTCCATATACAATTAACATTATAATTGCTCAACGCTTGAGAAGCTCAATATGAGATAAGAAAAATTGGTATATCGTGGCGCCTTCGACACAACTTGATATACCGGCGAGGGGCATCTAATCCAGGACGTTTTAAAAGCTACAAACAAGGTGTGTTTTTTTAAGCTTAAACGTGTTCCTGATTGATTACCAAGTTGCTGATCGATCAATATGGAGCCTACCTGGATTCCGAACGGCGGTGCATGATGGCCACGCTGCTTCCCGAGGTCGTCCGTTATCCACTCTAAAGCAATTGATTGGTCTTTTTTTACTTAGATTTAGTGAAGAACCACCTATGCGGCTGGTCAGAAATTGGAACTAGTAGACACCTATTCATTTTTTTGAGCTTATATCCAATTAAGTCAACATAAAGACGCTGTCCTCCCCTTCTTGCTTGATACCGAATTATCTTCCGCAAGGTCTGAAATAATGACTTCTTCCCAAAACCCAACCTTTGCCTGATGTGCTGCCATCAGCACTCGAGGCATTGATACCCGGTTTCTCTCTCTTCACTCGAATGGTGCTTCTGTACTTTGGCGTTGATGTTCCAACTTTCTCCAACTATACTTTGTTTTTAAACTTTACTTCTCGCATTGTTCAACTTTGCAATTCCTCGACTCCACGACAACTAGGCAGATCCTGGTTCCAACAGATCAGCGAAGACGGTGGATCTGCAGCTAGCAAATTCCTGGACAATGATGGCACATTTAGTATGTTGATATGATCTCCATGACATTATTGCCATCCGCACCAGATGCCTCAGAAATGTCGACTACCATGTCTTGCCCTTCTGGAAGCTCGCAGACCACGTGGTCGTCGACCAGGATGCGCATGCCATGTTCATTGACATGTATCATACGGACGATGCAAACTGGATCGATCTGCTGTTTGGCGCATATTTGCTTTATCAGGTCCCGGGAAGTTCGTTCTGACAGGTAAACTGCACAATAATAATCCTCGGGGAACTTCTCCGTGGCCCTGAATCGAACGTAAAAGCATGCGATCGGCTTGGGTCTGCTTTTCAACGGGGTCCGATAATTCGAATCAATACCCACGGCCTCAAGGAAACCCCTTGAGACTTGGTCAGCAGTTGGGATTCTCTGGACGGGAATTGGGCGCTTTGTCAATTTTGTGGAGGTCAGAGGTGGTGAATTGAAGGAGTTACTGTTAGCCGGGGAAGGAATCATCGCTTCCGCTGACCATAAGTCACCCGTGTTTTGGCTACTCATGTCCTCGGGTTGAATAGCCTCTATAGCACCTGACAGCCGAATCGGATATATATCTGGATCATCGGTTTGGTCGCCGCGCAAACCGAAGACGCTAACAGAGCGGGCCGAGGAAAACATTTCTTGCATTATGGCTAACTTGGACTGAAGATCGTCTCTTAAAGAGATATTCTCGGTCAGCCCATCGTCTGAGGCCATCGACAAAGTACGCTTATACTTTGACTGTTTCATAGGACGGTTGATTCCCTTTACAGTAGCCGAAGCCTTGTTGCCGCGTTTGCGCTTGACAAAGCCACCGCCTATCTCAGCTTCTGAGACCTGCTGCTTAAGCTTGTCGATGGTCTTCTGAACTTGCTTGGTGTCGTTGGAAATCTTGCGCTCGGCACCGTGGTCTCGGAAGAGTTTCACGTTGCAGTAAGCCAACTCCACGTGCGTTACACCCAACTCCTCACCAGTTGACAAAATTTCGGTTTTCGCGCAAAGTCTGACTGGACTTCCTTTAACACCCTTAGAGTGGCTGAAATCAGTCGAGAGGAAGTTGAATCGCACAGGAATTTTGCAACCGCTTGTGCCGGTCGCTGGGTTGGCAGTCCAAGTGACGCAGAAGCCGTCCACGGACATGTTTTCAACTTGAACTTGTCCATTCTGGTGGATCTCGCCGCCGTCTTTGAAGGTGTCGACGTATTCGACTGCCAACAATTTTCCACCGCGTTGGCGCGCCTCGTTTGTGCCCCGGCCTTCTTTCCACAGTTGCCAGCATCTTGGCGCATCTATCCGTTGTTGTTCTTCTTCGAAAGAAACACGGAGAGATGTTCTGTATCGAATCGGTTCAGGGTTTATTGTGGGTGGATTCGAGTCTTGAACGAGAATATTGTATGTATGGCCCTTGTTGAGATAGGTAATGGGAATTTCTTTCACATTTCTCACCATTGCGGTTGGCGCGCATAGGGAGATATTGAAACGGAATCTGGTCTGCGATTAGCATTAAGAAAATGAGAATTTTCATCATCGTTCTCACTGTTCACCCCTAGCATATGACATGCAGCCAGTCATCTGAGCCGAGAAGTCCGTAGATACTGTCATTTTGGACGCCGTCTCAAGCTGAAAATTGTTGATGGAGGAAGCATCAGCTGAAGAATCCATGTCGTCATATTCCGAACCCTGGCGAATGAAGGCACTTGGGGCATACGAAGCCTGATGAGCATATAAATTAATTTCAGGCATATAGTTGGGCATAAACTGCGGGTGGAATAATTCAAAGCCTTGGCTGTGTGGGTGTTGGGAACCTGGTGTAAGATACATTCCCGTTGGAGTGTGCAAGTCTCCGGCCTGATTATGAAAAATGGCACCCATGCCACCAGAGTTTGGGGTATAAAAGCAAGAATTCTGGTTGGCGGATGGAATCATAGAGTAAAGACCAGGTGACATCCCCGAGAGTGTCAAGTTCATGTCACGCATATTCCGAGCTGTACTTTTTTCGGTGCCGTTCATGGTGGATTTTATGTCGTGGTTTTCGATTTTTATGTCGTTTGAAGGCACCTCATGGTCCTTAGCCCTCACATTGAGAGGTCTTGAAGTTGGCACTCCTGGACCTGGAATCTCTCGGCGAGGAACAATGTCTGAGAAGACTTGTTGGAAGCGACGAATGAACTCACCATCAGGCTTCTGGGCGTTGTTTCTGTTGAGAAAAAATATGTCAACAATGATGGAAGCGATCAAAAAGCGACTTTCGATAGCAACTAACCGTTTGGTGAGCATTGGCTGCGACTTTACCACTGGGTCGTTTGGTTATAGGAATCACGGGGAGTTGGGGGAACTGCCGGATAAGGAGGAAATCCGTGCGGACATTGAGTGGTGGTTTCGACTTGTGCGATGATAAGTCTAAGCATAAAGGGACCAATCAAATCGAAACAACCATCCCCCCCCTCCTTCCTCCCCGAATCGCGCCACTAATAACGACCACGAAAAATCTGCGTTTAGTGGATAATCCTCGCACCGAGGCAGTCGCAAAATCCGCACTCTGGAGTGCTTATCTAGAAGTACTACATTTGAAAGGCGGTGCTGAGCCACGCGGCCAATAGGAGTCCTTGCTAGATGCTTTGATCCAGGCTACGTGGGCCATCTTGATTCCCTTCTGTTCGAAGTTAAAAAATTGTTCCATCACAACATTGAGCCTGTGGAACAGCGAAATCCTGCAGTTTGATTCAAACGGCACGAATACATATTCGTACGATTTTAAGCCCTCTGCCAAGTCTAGACCCCGTTTAGAAAACAGCCAATAGAACGCCCACTTGTCACGTGGGAGATAGGGTTTTCTTGGACATTTCCACACCAGCACTTCTTTGACAATGTCAGACAGAATAGAAAACATGAGCTTAGATATATCAATCAAGGTCCAGGATTCAAGCTAAATTGATCCGTTTTCCCATCACATGAAAAAAGCCACGAATATTCGTTATTCGTGGCAACCCCTCCATTTGATTCGTGGAAACTCTCCCGATAGGTGTGATCGGCACTTTCGAGGTAGTGTTGGGCTTGTGTAATTTAACTGGTCGCTTCCGCTAACCGCAACTGCAATTAATTGGCACGTCGTGTCTTCCCATCTTCCCCGCCCTTCTACAGTGGATCCATTAGCACCCTCTTACCAGACTTCCTTCCCCTTTGCAGTTGGAAGCCCCTTCGTCTGGTTTAGCTCCAAATGTATTTTCTTTCTCTCATTATTTCGAAGAAACAAATTTGATCTTTGTTCCATAATATTTTGGGGCATTTAGTGAATGCCCACTCAGCAGTCGGCGAAATGTCACGTCCTGTCCCATTACAAAAGGCTCAGCAAAACCAAGCCAGCTTCGGTACATCTAGGGAACGAGAATTCTACAAGTAAGTACGTTATATTAATTTTCATGTGCGTGATATAGTATCGAGAAATCTACAACACTCAGCGAAAACTCGGAGGCTGACCATGCGGCGTGACATTTACAGATACTTACCACCGCACCATCTGAACGCGCAAACCCTGCAACATGTCGCCCGAGACACGTCAACGGATTTTGTCGCTCGATCGTCCTCAGATCCTGTTCTGACTGCATTTGCTCAGCTGGGCGCCTTACGACTGGATTCCCAACGCGCATTGATTTCGCTTTTTGGTCGACAGGAGCAGCACGTTATTACCGAAGCCACTCGAACCCTAAGCCTACAGGTCAATGCAGATAACAGCGCTTGTCATGAACTTTGGGTCGGGAGTTGTACAATGTCGTATGACCGCAGCTTCTGCAAATCTGTTTTAAACCCTCTGCCCTCTGCGCAAACTCCTAGTGATGGAGTTGTCGTTGTGCCAGACCTCTCACTGGATGATAGATTTAAGGAACATCCAGATGTAACGGGCTGCCCAAATATTCGCTTTTTAGCATGCATTCCTATCATTAGCCCAAAAGGCATTGTGATTGGCTCCTACACCGTCCTAGACAACAAACCCCATGGACCGCTGAACGCCGATCTAGTCAAATTCCTGACAGATATAGCAACCACCGTCATGGATTATTTGGACGCAACACGGTCTCAGGCCCAACGTCTCCGAGGCGAGCGCATGGTTGTCGGACTTGGGAGTTTTCTGGAAGGGAAAGGCAGCCTTCGCAACTCATGGATCGGTGCAACCGACGATCCTCGGTCCCTAGATCAAAACAAAGATCATGCAGAGGGTCTTATAAATCAAGAGCAACAGGAAAAACAAGTCCTTGATGATGTGGCTCAGGCTATGACGCAGAATAGCGCCTCAAGCGATCTGCCTCTCCGCCCACATAACTTCCATCTGCCCGGGTGCAAGAAACCCTACACATGCAGGGAGCAATCACAGTTGCTAATCAGCTCAAAGACAAGCAATAGAGATCGTCTCAATCCCAAATCAGCGAGCCAAGGTCCATTCAAAGAGACTATGGCAGCCGACAACATAGGGGCCCGACAACAATCTCCAAAGGAAAGTTATACGACTGAGGTGAAGGAGGCGTTTTCGCGGGCGGCCAACCTCATTCGCGAAAGCGTCGAAGTCGAAGCCGTTGTCTTTTTTGACGCTAATTTCATCTCTGGGCACACTTCGGTGGATGACACGAAGTCTGACCTCGAAAGTAGCGGTCTGGAAAGCTGTTCTTCAAACAACGAGGAAGTGAAAGCTCGAAAAACCCCCACACAGCATGGCCGTTGCATCACACAGGCTGAAGATCCTAGCAAGTCCACGATGAACTCATGCGAAATACTCGGGTTTGCAACTTCGAACACCTCTAGCGTAAACAATCAACCAACGGCCGATAATAAAATCGCATTATCAGAATCCTTTCTCCGGGGCCTCCTGCGCCGGTATCCTCAAGGCAAGATTTTCAATTACGGCGAAGATGGGTCAATTTCGTCCGATGACACCAGTGATGGCGTTTTCAAAAGTTTCACCCAGCGCAGTGGGAGCAAGACATATAAACGAACAAGGAAGGCAATCCTGCGCCAGGATGCTGCGACACTTCTGCAACTTGCTCCTGGTTCCCGAAGCATCATTTTCTCGCCGTTATGGGATTCGCATAAAGGAAGATGGTACTCGGGCAGTCTGGCGTGGACAAAAGCTCCCCACCGTATTATCACTTCTGATAGCGAATTGTCGTTCATATTTACGTTTGGGAATAGTCTTATGGCGGAAGTGCACCGCCTTGGCGCCCGATTTGCTGAGCGTGCAAAGTCAGACTTGTTAGCAGGACTGAGCCATGAACTTCGTTCTCCTCTTCATGGGATCTTCGGCACGGCAGAGCTCTTGAACGATACCGCCATGGATGCGCTACAACGAGGATTCGTGCACACGATTTCATCTTGCGCATTCACTCTACTGGAGTCGATCAATCAGCTACTTGAATATGCCAGCATTAACGACGTTGGACCGAGCTCCGGCACAGCAAAAAGACCGAATGACTCTGACCACAAATCGCCGGCTGGTGGGACAATGGCTAGTGCCAGGCAGGATCTCCAGCCTGGAAAGGTCGATCCGAACTCCTGTGTCGAGCTTGATGTTGTTGTGGAAGACACCATAGAAAGCGTCTTCGCGGGCTATTCTTTTGTCGATAATTCACGCTCTCCTCTAAGAGTTGTCACCGGCGCATCCGACATGAGCAGGCCTACTAATATGCAGAGTGAAGAAGTAAAAGTGATTCTTGATATCGATCGCTCCCAAAATTGGAACTTCTTAACCCGCCCCGGAGCCTTGCGCGTGGTCCTGACAAACATTTTTGGAAATGCCTTGAAGTTCACTCAACATGGCTATATCTACGTTTCCTTAAAAGCCACCCCATTGAACTTCGGAGAGGACAGTAAGGTCACCCGGTCGAAGGTTGCGGTGACGGTCAGAGACACTGGATGCGGTATTGAGCAAGAGTTCTTACGAAACGAGTTGTTCAACGCTTTTTCGCAGGAGGACATCATGACGACTGGTAATGGCCTAGGCTTTAACTTAATCCGCCGGGTTGTATCATCACTTGGTGGCAACATTCAGATCAATTCCCAGAAAGATGTTGGCACGGAAGTTTTGACGACTATTACCCTTGATCACTTCACTGGGAATATCGCGGAACCGGCGATCCCCGACGACCCGAATATTCTGGGTACCGTCACGGTGACGAACGATCTTGTGCGTGGGAAAACCATTGGGATCTTAGGTCTTGGACTTTCTGAGTTAGACACAACTCTGAGTTCATCTTTGCAGAAGCTGTGCCGAGACTGGCTTGGCATGGATGTTCGTTTAGTTGTGCCTTCGGAAGCTCAATTCTCTCAATGTGAATTTTACATTGCGCCCCAAGAATTCTTGGACATGGGGAATATGGAAATCAAACCAATTGCCCCTGATCTAAAACGACTCTCCTCGCCTGTCATTATCATTTGTTCTTCTCCACGGATCGCGCACTCCATGCTTGTGGCCGCTAGGAAGCGAGGAGAAACAGATGTTCTCGAGTTCATCAGCCAGCCATGTGGACCACGCAAGTTGGCAAAATCATTAGAGATCTGCATAAAACGTCAACAGCGGCGGAAAGACTGGGCTGATGGCAGGGAAGAGAGGCTAGCTGGCGCATCAATGCCTCCAACGCCTAATGAGTTCCAGAGTGGGTCGTTTCTCCAGGGGCCGATTTCAGAGGACAGCGGACAACCCAAGACGAAAGTGACGGGGGGTTCCACACCAATATACGGCCAAGACTCGAGACATCCACCTGAGCAATTGAAAACTCGAGAGAAAGTCGATAATCCTCATATTTCGACTGCCGCATTTGGCAATCCCACAACAGAAGTGGGGTCAGCAGCATCTCAGACTCAACAAAGTTCCGCGGCAACTGTCCTCCTTGTGGATGACAATGATATAAATATCAGACTCCTGATCGCATTCATGAAAAAGCTGGGATGCCATTATGTAGTCGCACAAAATGGCCAACAAGCTCTCGAGACCTTCAAAGCAAACTCTGCCAACATCCGAGTTATCCTTATGGGTGGGTTTTAATGAGCGAAACTGTATACCCACTTGAACCTAATATTTTTACAGATATTTCCATGCCAATCATGGACGGCCTTGAATCGACCAGGCGAATCCGTGAGTTTGAGAAAGAATTAAAAACCAAGACCCGTGTCACGGTTGTCGCTCTGACTGGTCTAGCGCAAGCTGACGTTCAACGCGATGCCTTCAGGTCTGGTATGGATATGTTTCTGACGAAGCCTGTACGAATGGGTAGTTTGGTGCCAATGATAATGGGCACAACGTGATACCCGCAATACATCTCAATCGTTCCCAAAATGAAATTGCGAGCTCGACAGCATTACACTGTTACGGTCACTTCGTGTTGTAATCTCCCCTTGGAACAAAAAAGCTCTTTGGAACTGTACCTAATAACTTCCCGAAACTTCTTCGATCTTCAAGCCTGCATGCCGAAAATGACCTCTAGCACTCTCTTCTTTTGCACCGACCACATCAACACACCATTCAAGAAAGTCATCAAAGCCTTGATCGGGGTCTACTTCATAATAACTCCAGTTGCGTCTAATACAGGCGTTGAGCTCAGCGAAAAACTCTTCAATTGGATTGAAGTCCGGCGAGTAGGGTGGCAGATAGACCAATTTTACCCCTGAATCTACACACATCTGCGTCATCCGCTCTGAATGATGAAACGAGGCGTTGTCCATAACCAGAGCGGATTTAGGTTCGGGCCATCTTCCGCAGTGCTGAAGAAGCTGCGCTATGAAGTCCTCGAACACAGTGGCATCTGTGGACCCGCGGAAGACACGCGAGAAAACGATTCCATCCTGGGCATACGCCGTCAGTATCTGATATCGCTGGTCGCGCGGAGATAAGCTTAAAATCGAAGAACAGGCCTCTCATGTCATTTGAGTTCTTTATCGCCCGAATGATACCCGACTGCCAACTTGACCCGCTGTGCATATATAGTGGCTGAATGGAAGTTCTTTCCAAGTAGCTGGAGATAGATACTCATCTAATCTTGCAAAGCTTCTTGAGGTAGCTGTCACCTCCTGCTATTTTTGCTCCTTTTCAAAGGTCTGCATGGCCTCTACTAGAAATAGACCTTTCGTCTCTGGGAAGAGGATGTAGATGTAGATAATCAGCACTATCGAGTGCTTAAACCAAGAGCCCTTCATGTCCACAAATACATGAATCCTGCATTATCCTTTCTTCCACTATCAGGCAAAGTATAACACTCGCTCACTTATGGCCATCCATGCTGAGCCTTTCTCTCCGTTGATTCCTCAGATCTTGTTCTGTTTCCATGAGTATTTTCAAAAGACAACGACCACTTGCAGAGGTTGATGTCACTCGAGAATCGTTGAGAAGCTCTGTTGAGGCTGTCTGGACCTGATGGTCGTAATTGAGGTCTTTCGCGTATGAAGTCTCGTTGGTGTGAATTGGATCCGAAAGTCTGTGATTACTGTCGGTTGACGAAGGACATGAGGAAGATCGTCGTGGAGTAACAGCAGAGAGCGAATTTGGTAACCGGTTGGCAGATGGTACGGTGGCTTCTCGCTGTGCATGTCGACCAGCTGCCATTTTTATGGTGGCATCTGGGAGAGGTAAAAAGCGACACGCCTGGAGATCAAGAGAGTGAACCAGAGTATTGAACCGTTTATGAAAACAGCTGTCGCGACATAATTATGAGTGCCCTTTACTGCTTCAATCTAAGTTGATAATAAAAAAGCGGCCTTATTTAATCATTCCGTAACGGTGACGTAAGAGAGTTGGAAATATGTGGGCAATTGGATTGTGCGGGGCCCACCAATACCCGGTAGGTGGTTGGTTCCACCGTCCCAGATAAAAGTTTCCGGATCCTCACTTTCTTCGCGTCATGGATTTGGTTCCCCATGCGACTGCATTTGAATGCCCGATTACCACAAAATATCCGCTTGCTATATATACAGGCCCTCGATAATTTGGTTCCAACCTGCTCACCTAACCCTAAATATGCCTTAGTTGTCCTCGAAACTGCAAGTGCGTCAAGCCAATCAACGTGCGCGGCTCTCAAAATCCCCTTGCCCTAGTTTCAAATCAAATCGTCTTTGAATGCCTTCTTTTCCAAAACTGAGCTGATGGATAAATCCTACGATGACTAGCCTGAATTCATATGTCGATTGGTGCTTGGTCGACGGGCCGAATTCGGAGGTCCTGAGTTCTACAGACCACCCGCACCATGACATATTCCTGGGCCTCCAACCAGCCTCCTCACCTCCCAACCTGATAGATAAGATGGGATTTATCATGTCCCCACCGTACGTCGAACTGCAAATCCAAGAGGGCCCAGTTACTCTCCAGTTCGGCGAGGTGACCCCTCTAGGCTCTGCTCCTGATACACATCTTTGTCTCCCTGCCGCACCACCGGACGGTTTCGGACAATCGTTCCTTTCCAACGATGGCACGTCTCTCACGCCTCAGATGACCAACTTGGCGGCCAGCAAAGCCCATAATATTCAAGATGCAGAGCCCGTTACGCCCAGAATTGGTCAACGAAAGCAACTTTCCCGAAATATAGAGCCTTGGCAAGGAACGCAGCCACTTCCAGAATCAAACAGGACTACTGGCACCAGGACATTAGATTCAAGAGCCCGCTATATTTCTAAACGCAAAACGCACCTAGAAAACAATCGGCAAGCCGCAAAAAGATGCCGGAAGAAAGTTAAATCCCGCAACGCAGCTCTCGAGTCTGAGTACAAAGAGCAGTCTGCCCACAATAGTCAGCTTCTAGCTGATATCAGCCGACTACGCTCTGAATTGTTGTATCTCCAAAACGAGATACTGAAGCATTCGCAATGCCGAGACGACCCTCTCAAGAGACATTTGGTGCTGGTGATGCAGAGGATGCCAGCACGGGATGGTTGCGCTACTTAAGGTTCAGATCAAGCCAGTGACAAGATATGCCTATTTGTCTTGCGCTAACTGAGATCTCAGCTATCATGAGCGAGCGAAGGGGGGATTGTTTCTTTTCTGGATTTGCATCTGTATATCAGGGGAGCAGGACTGTCACATGAGAAATTGCATATATAGAAGCGTATTTCACCTCGAAATAAGTGGATGACGACAGAAATGTGGGTATCAAGAATAAGATCGCTAGTTTAACAGGTAGAAAGTGGATTTCCTTCACACGGCACACGAAGAAGTTTTGCGTCTCCTGTCTCAGCTCGACATAGTCGTCGTTTTGCTGCCCCAGGTCGCTGCAGAGTCGGTCGACATTCAGAGTAGAGGGGTGAAAGTCAATAATCAAAACACGCCCAAGCTCTTCACTCCAAATGGCATTGTCTCACCGAAGGTCTTCATGTGTTATCCTTAGGGCTTTGATTTCCTTGTTCGATTTGTGAATCTAACGCTGTACCCCTTCCCCCAGGTATCACGAGTGATTTAAGGTGTAGACGTAACGTCAACTGACGCAGTGGTCTAGTAGGAGGTTCGCTGCCTGGCGCGGGGGAGTGGCCCTTAGGGCGAAATGCGTCCAGATGTTTACCAGCTTACTCACCCCCTTGGCTCGAGTCCATTCATGCCTCAGGCATCAAATGCACCAACACGCTTTGTTCTCTTGACGTTCACAGTCCTTTTGATTTCTGGAATATACGTCCACTCGATGGTTTCGGATTACCTGGACCGGTCTCGTTATTAGATAGAAAAATTTGGTCTTCAAATTCCTTAGCAATTACAGCCACCGTTGCGAGGTCATTATCTCGATTACATCACTCGCGAGACCCCGTTTTCCGTCTTTAATAAAAACCTCCTGCTTGCGAAGGATATATCGTGTGATCTAGCTGTGGTCAGGTATTGGAAAGGGCTCGTAATCAGCGAAAGTTCTTCTAATATAGAAAGAATAGGTTGAAATCTCTCAATCTCCTTCTGTTCCGCGGAACACTTCGCGCAGTCAGTCGCTAACGGACCTCATAGAGGCCAAAGACGTACCTTCCCTGTCGGGGCACCTGAATCTCTCATTATGAATAGGCTCTTCTATGTTTATGAGCGAGACAATTTGAGCTGTCTTCACTGACAAAATCTGCGACAGTGATTTGCTACAGAATTCTGCGAGAGCCGACATGTTATGAGGTATTTACAAGTAGGGCTTGCTTGATTCTGTTGAATCAGACTAGCAGGCTAGAATAATGCAGCATGAAGGTGCTATCCTGATCTACTGAACGGAAAGGTATGGGTGAGAATCAAATAAGTAAATTTGTCTAATCCAGGTAAAACCTGGAGGAAAAGCTCTTTAAATACATGCTTGGGACCCGGTTTACTATGATAGTAAACCTCTGCCGATCAGGGGTAATCGACACGTGAGGCGATTCCCATTGGCTTATCCACGTGGGACAACAACGAGGTCAGAATTATGGAGTTTTGCGATACACTTCGAGAATTGAATTCCCAAGAGAATAGAGTAAAGGACAATTCTCAACAGGTTCAGTTTTGAGTAGGCCTTGATGAAAAAGTGGAGTGTTCTCTCCCTGCTTTTCCTACTTAGAGGACCCGACATCGCGCGAGATATTTATAGGCGAAAGCCTTTATTGGATTGCGGTAGACCTTGATTGAGTCCTTAACTTGAGGCGGGCGTTGGCGGCCAGGCTTTCAGCATAAAAAGGAAAGAAAGCTGATGGGACGATTTCTCCGACTAAAAATGACCTTCCCCTCCATCAATTGAAACTTGGTGGAACACCCCTGCGTTAAAAGAATCGCGTTGTTTGCCTTATTTTTACTACTCCCACCTAGATATTTCAACGTTCTTCTCCTATAATAAATTGAGCTTGAACGTAACTATTAATATATAACTAAACTCACCGCTACTAGAATTTTTAAAGCTCGAAGCATTTTCTATATTGCTTCATCATAGACTTCCGCAAAACCCAACTTTCGACCCAGTCTTGGCATTGCCCGACCCAGTTTCGACCCAACTTTGTGCATAAAAATACATAAATGTGCCAAGACCTTCCTAGTTAGTCCTATTTTTGCATATTTATGCATAAAGTTGGGTCGAAACTGGGTCGAAAGTTGGGTTTTGGGTCGAGACCTTCGACCCAGATTGGGTTTTGCGGAAGTCTAATATTCACAGATGAGTTCATTATTGGCTCAATAACAAACGGTTTTTCCTCTAGACACCTAATTTGGACTAGTAGTACTCCGAGTGTTGCTGAGAGAGGCTAATTCATATCAGGCTGAACTAATATTCCGAGTCCTGCCTCGCAGATAGGATGATCGCGCGGTAGAGTGTGGAGGCTCGTGATGGTGTTCTGTGCTCGTTGGCGGAGGCGGAGGTGCGTTGACAGAACATGTGCCTCTACTTCCAGAGTCGTGGTGGCCACTGTCCTGAAAGCTGATAAGATGCGAATCAATGCGGTTCTTTGGACTGTGTTTAAGTGTCGTAGGTGGGTCTTGTCTCGTAAAGAGTCGTGCCAGACTGTCGACGCGTAGTCTATGACCGGCGTTACGCAGGCTTGGTAGAGCTGTCGCATCTGTTCTGGGCGCAGATGCCGCAGCCCGCCCAAAGCAATACTGACCTTGGTCGCGCGTTTGATCGCTTGCTGGACGTGTTCCTTCCAGCGGAGCTCCTGGTCGAAAACCACCCCCAGCAGCTTGGCCGTGGATGATGGTTCGGCTGTCTTACCGTTCATAACCACTTGACCCTGAAGCTGTTCGCGTCTTTTCCGGGTGATGTGAATCAATTCAGTTTTCTCGGCTGCGAAGCAAGACCCTGTTCGACGGGCCCATGCCTCAATGCGGGGGATGTCTTCCGATTGTATTTTGGCTAGGTTTTCTTCGGCCGAGCGTCCCACGCGCCAGCGGAAGTAGTCGTCGATGAAGGCGGATGCACCACCGTGAGAGTTGACAGATTGGTCGACCAGGTCAGAGTTGAAGAATGCGAAGAGGATCGGGGACAGGGGCGAACCCTGTGCGAGTCCCGCGTTCGGCAGTGGTGTGGTCTCGGTGCGGTAGTCATCGAATCCTATGCTGGCGTGGCGGTCGCTCATGAAGCTCGCGATCCATTTCCTCGCCACGGTGGGTATTCTCCTTGCCCGGAGGCAAGCGTCTAGGCTTACTTTGTTGACTCCGTTAAAGGCACCTTTCAGGTCAAATGTCACCAGCGTTATCACTTTGTGTTTGTACCACGCTCGGTCAATCGCATTGGAGAGGACCAAAAGGGCCTGTTCAGTAGTTCTTCCTGGTCGTCCTCCAAACTGGGTGTCCGGTAGCAGGCCGTGCTTTTCAGCGAGATACGACAGTCGGCGCGCCATCACCGCTTCAAGGAGTTTACCTAGTGTGTTGAGGAGTGAGATCGGGCGATAGGCCCCAGGGACCGAGTAATCCGGTTTCTTGGGTTTCCGTAGCACTACAATCTTCGCGCTCCGCCATCGCACCGGGTGGTATCCTAGATTGAATGACGCGGTGAAGATCCCCGTGACGTAGACCTTGAGGTGCATCCATAGCTGTTTCCACACTAGCGTCGGCAAGCCGTCTTCACCAGGTGCGGTAGATCCTTTTGCGGCATGAAGAGATCGTTGAATCTCAAGCTCGGTGATTGGTTGTCACGGGAGTGCTAGAGGTGTCTGGGCGGGCAAGTCCTCGTGAGGTTCGTCCATCTGCGGGAAGAAAGTGCCTAGGAACGCCTGCGCTTTGTCCTCATTTTCTATGAGCTCGTTGGTGCCGACGTGCAATGCCGGCACACATCCCCAGGCTTCTCGTGGTTTCATGTAGGTGGCTGCATTCCAGAGCTTCCCTTCCCCGGCTTCGTCAAGGAACTGCTTCCAATGTGACGCCTTCACCTTCTCGATGGTCCGGGTCCATAATCGTCGTTTGCGCTGCATCTCTTGAAAGAGGGTCATGGAGCGGGCGTCATGCCGCCCGAGTTCCGCACAGCTTTCTTGCCACGTCCGGCGTAGTTGATTGACCTCGGTCTGCTGTATTTTGAGGGTTGGGGTGAACCAGCGTTTGGAGTATGGCGTTGGTCGTAGGTCGGGAGTGTGCTTATCCACCGCCATGGCCGTTGCCTCTGTGAGCTTGTCGACTGTCTCATCTAGCGCTGGTCTCGTTTTCACCTCCTTCCATGGGCCCAATTGTCGACGTACGTCTTCGGCGATCTTACACCAGTCCGCACGATCGTAGGCTTTCCTGGCCTTAGCGGCGGGCTGGCGCTGAGATCGTAGGTCCCATTCGGAGTACGTTGCGCGGTGGTCTGACCCATAGTTTTCGTGGTAGAGATGGCATTTGACGAGTAGGTCCGGGCGGTTCGTTACCGTCTGGTCGATAATGGTGCTCTTCCCTGGGTCGTTAAAGGGCCAAAATGTCGCTGTTCCCCGTGGAAGACAGCTATGTAGGCCATGGGCTTGAAAGAAGTTGATCAATTCGCTTGCGTCTTCAATGAATCGCGGTTGGATATTGTTGCCGCCCCACATCGGGTGGTGGCGGTTGAGATCACCTGACAAGATGACGCTTGTTGTCTTTTGATCATCTTGGGTGTTTGCTAACAGTGTTTTCTGGATTGCCGTGAGTGCTAGTTCTGTCGACGTCTCGTTCGGTGTGAATAGTGGAATGCATGAGAGGTAGACCGAGAAGATAAGAAATTGAGAGTCGGTTGTCCGAATCTTGATTGACGTGACATCCGGGTGGTCGCAGGCGATCTGTCGATGAGACGAGGTTGAGACTTTTCGGCTGACGTAGATCAGACTGCGAAACCGGCCTGCATCAGGCTCGGTAGTCGGCCGGTATAGCCGCCAGGCGCTGTGGTTGACGTGTGTTTGATAGGCGGTGATAGATGGTTCTTGGATCAGAGTACATCGAGGTCCTGGCTCTGGTGGTCGTTGATGAGCGCTTCCATCCTAGGTCCCGATTTCATGATGTTTAACTGTAGTATACGTGGGTTTTTT